GGGGGGGGGGGGGGGGGGAAAAAGAAAAAAAATTCCTGTGTGAAATTTTTAAAAAAAAAAAAAAAAAAAAAACAAAACCATTTATTTTTATTCATAAGAGTACGGATCGTTTTTTTTTTTTTTTTAAACTTTAAATTATCCCGCGCGAATTTAATTAAAGGTGTTAATTATAAAGAATTTTTTTTTTTTTTTTTTTTTTAAGAAAACAAACGTTACCGATATATATTATATATAAATTATCATTTTTTTATTATATAATTGAAATATCATGATTTTATTGAATGGACTCCATTGTGTACATGATTTCGACGTATTAATTATTTGTCGCATTAAAAAAAAATTCATTTTTTTTCTTTTTTTTTTTTTTTCACATGTGAAAAATATCAATGAATTCTTTCATATATATATATATATATATATATTTTGTTTTGTTTTGTTTCGTTAGAAACAATCAAATATGGCGGAAGAGAGAGAGAGAGAGAGAGAGAGAGAGAGAGAGAGAGAGAGAAAGGGAGAGGAAGAGAGAGGAAGAGAGAGGAAGAGAGAAAGAGAGACAGGGAGAGAGAGTAATAAAGTAATCATGGTATATAATAAATTAAAGAATAACATTACCGCCTTTTTTTTTTTTTTTTTAATATATTATCATTATCATTATCATCATCATCATCATCATCATCATCATTATTATCATTATCATTATTATTATTATTGATTTGTTTGAGTCGATTAGTAAATTTTTTTTTTCAACTTTGGTCATTTGTCGGGAAAAAAAAACAAAATCTCATAAGAATTTTTTTTTTTTTTTTCGTTTTTGGTAATTGAACGGCCGCCTTTGCTAAACTTTGCGTGAGTGCGTGAGTGAGTGCGTGTGCGTGCGTGCGAGTTCATTAATGGCAAAACAAAGGGGTTTAAAAGAAGTGTTAATAATAAAGTCGTAAAATGTACAAAATTACTTTACCACAGACATTAATAAGAATAAAATCTTTGTAAGGTCACAAAAGGGGTCAGGTTAATGAAGACATTAGGTATTTGAAAGAGTGAGAGAGAGAGAGAGAGAGAGAGAGAGAGAGAAAGAGAGAGAGAATCGAAGAGTAAAAAAAAAAAAAAAAACTTTCCAAATGAAACTAATCAACTTTTTCGACTCAGGTACAAATAAATAAAAATAAAAAATAAAAAAAATTTTTTTTTTTTTTCTTCAGTTGGCAAAACTGTTATTGGCTATACGTAAAAGATTATAATTATAAATACTCGATAATTGTTTATATCTTTTTTTCTTTTTTTTTGATTTAATCCGACAGAATTGTAATAACGTTTCTTTTTTTTTTTTTTTTAAAAAATGAATTTCTGAATGAATGAATGAAATAATAATAATAATAATGATAATGATAATAAATAAAATAGTCAAAGAACATGACAAAAATTATTTTTATTTAAATAGTTTCTTTGGTGGGTCTCTTTAAAAATTGTCATCATCGTCAGTCATTTTCCTGTTGTGAGGTCTAGGCAATCGTCCAATGTTATTCCCTAATTATTTACCATTTAAATCTCATTTGATTTCATCCATGTCTTATTAACAAAGAATATAATAATAATAATAATAATAATAATAGATAAGAAATAATGTTTTTTTTTTTTTTTTGTAGTGGAGAACTCAATTGGAACCGCGACGATTAAATCTTTAGAAAAAGATTATTAACGTAATTTTTTTTTAAAAAAGGAAAGAAAGAAATTAAGTAATGTAAAGTAAAGGGGAAAAGAAAGAGAGAGAGAGAGAGAGAGAGAGAGAGAGGAAAGTGATATATACAAACGGAAGTTTCAACAAACACACACACACACACGGTAATTTAAATTAAATTGAGCGAATAAAAAAAGAAGAAGAAGAAGAAAAAATTAAACAGGTAATTAATTAATTAATTAAAAACTTATTCGTTTATATTTTTTTCTTCTGCCACTTCATTGTAATACGTGCGTGGTAAAAGAAAGGAAAAAAATCATGTGTGCGTCATATATAAGGGGTTGGGAGAGGGGATTGGAATTTGTGACGTAATAAAAATCCTAACACGACAGTAATTTAAAAAATGAATTATGGTTGGTGGGGGGGGGTGGTGGCGATGGTGGTGGTGTTAGTGGGGATGGTGGTGGGGGTGTCGTAGTCGGCGTTAAACACCAATTATTTACACATGTTTTTGAAAGTATCGCATCATTATTCAATCATTCGTTTTGTGTAAAAAAAAAAAAAAATTAGACATTTTTAAAATAATTTAATTGACAGACGTATGAGATTCACTCTCACGTTCGAGAGAGAGAGATAGATGGGGGGGATGGGGGGGGAATAGAAGAAACATTAACGTCCACCACGTCAGTTCGGCCCTTTTTTTTTTTTTTTTAAACAATTATATTATTCTATGACGTTGTTGTTGTGTTGTGTTGTTTGTTAGTTTGTTTGTTATGTCTCTCCACCTTTCTCTCCATCTTTACACGTGCATTTTAAAAAATCCGTCTATTAAAATTTTTTTTTTTTTTTTTTTTTTCCCTAAAAGGGATTTTAATTTAATTGGTCTCATTAGATCCCCGATTAAATCCGGACCGCCTTTTTCCTGTTTTTTATTTTTTTCTGTTGTTGTTTTTATTATCATTATTATTATCATTATTATTTTTTTTTTTTCATTTCATTCATTGGTCTCCCACAAAGCAAATAAATAAATAAATAAATATAAACGCACACACACACACGCATACTCACACGTAGCGCGCACGGAATTTGAAAAAAAAACTCATTTCGTCATTATTATTATTATTATTATTATTATTATTATTATTATTATTATTATTATTTTGTTTTTGGACGAATGAAAATCGCATCAATTACTTATATATATTAAAAAAAAAAAAAAAAAAGTTTTCTGCTTTTTTTTTTGCGCGCGCGTAACCATTTTCAAAAGATATGAACCGTGTGAAGGAAAAAACGTTTAAAAAAGAGAGAGAGAGAGAGGGAGGGGGAGAGAGAAAAAGAAAATGAAAACGTTCGTAAGAATGTATTTATTAAAATCCGCCATTTTGATTTTAATTTATTTCATTTTTATTTGCCAACATGTCGTCGTCGTCGTCGTCGTCGTTTTAGTCGTCTTAAAAGTCGTCGTGAAATTGAAATTTGTTTCGTAAGTCACGATGAAAAGAAATAATATTAATAATAATAATAATAATAATAATAATAATTCTTTTGTTTTAAAAAAGAAATTTATTCGAGGGGAATCGTAAGCGGGACGTAAGGAAAAGTGTGTGAGAGAGAGAAAGAGAGAGACACAAAGAGACAGAAAGAGAGAGAAAACGGGGGGAGAGGCACTCAAGTAAAAAAAAAAAAAAATGTTACGTTTTGTCAAAATAAACGAGTTTTAATAATAATAAGGGTTGTAAATGATAACGATAATAATAATAATGATAATTTGGATATAAAAGTTTTTATAATAGGAAAAAAAAAAAAAAATGGCCGTTAAGAAATTGTGTATGTGTGTGTGTTATTTAATCATCCCCGTCGATTAAATAAACAGTAATAAATTCAATTTACAACGAATAATAGAAATTTTTAGAAATCACGATGTTAGATTGTGTGTGATACGCACACGCACTCACGCACTCAAGCACATATATATGCGTCGTGAATATAAAGAGGGGAGGGATGAAGGAAAGGGAGGAAAAGAGGGTTTTTATTAGAAAATGAGGGATGTTAAATTTCATTTTAGATACGGTTTTTAACCATTATTTAATTTTCAAAAGGTTTTCTCCCGAATTGGAAACCGTTGTTTGAAAGTGAAAATTTACTTTTATGTTTTCACTCTCTCACTCTCTCCCCCCCCCTCTCTCTCTCTCTCTTTCTCTCTTTTAACTTGTCGGTGACAAAAAGACTAAACGTATGAAATTGAAAAAAACATTTTTCTGCGCGCGAAATTATTGACCCGCTCTTACATTGAATGTCACGGATGAGAAGAAGTACAAAAAAAAAAAAAATAAAAAAATAAAAAACAAACTGGGGGGGAAGAGGGGAAGAGAGAAGGGTGTGCGTGTGTGTATGGAAAGAAGTTAAGGGATGATAAAGGGTAGAATGAAAACGTTTAAGGGATGAAAAATTGTTATAGGGAGGAGAAAGAGGGATTTGCGTAATCAGTTTTAACGATGTTTAATAGGATCGCTTTGTCGACAATCGGTTATCATCTGATTAAGCTTATTTTCAATTATTTCACTCTTTGAAATCTCTACGAAGGAAGAAGGGAGGGAAGTGGGGATGGTGGTGGGGGCGGCGGCGGAAATGAAAGGATGAAGTGAGGAAGTCGTCGTGTTTTAAGGGATGAGAAAATATATAAAAGGTAGAAAAAACAAAAAGGGGTTGTTGTTGTCGTGTCGTTGTCGCTGTCGTACACGCTGTCGTTGTTGTTTTTTTTCATATTGTCGAATTAAATGATTTTAATCTCGAATGGAAAAAAAATCTCGTACAATTTTTAAAAAATATTCTGCTGACACTTGTACCCCTTCCCCCACTTCCTTCCCATCCTTCTCAAAAAGAATTTTTAATGAAATAAAAAGCAAAAAAACTCGAATTATTAATTAGAATCCTATTGAAAAATGTTGTCAAAGTCGAAAATGAAAAAAAATAAGCGTGGCAGTAGATTTATCTATAATTAGTAATATTATCGAATGAATTATACAATAAGTGATAAAAAATTTCGTCATTTTTTATAGGTTATGAATTTTTAAAAAAATATTTTTAAAAAAAAATTAAAATTTTTGGCACGGTTAAAAAAAAAAACAAAAAGAATTTATTTAAGTATTATTTTCTTTCTAGTTCCACTTTTTTTTTTTTACAAAAAAAAAAAAAAAAAATCGTGTCACAAAATATTTATTTTAAAAATTAATAAATAATTTTTCTTTTCTTTTTTTTTCTTTTTTTTCTAAAATAAACAAAATTTCCGTTAAAAAAAATTTGTTTTTGCTGTCGTTAAAATTTTTGCTGATTTTTATTATCATTATTATTATCATTTAATTAATTTTATTTAAAATAAATTATCTGAAAAACAAAAAAAAAACAAAAAAGAGAAAATAAATTATTTTTCTTCGTCAAAAAATTTTAATTAATTTTTTAAAATTTTTTTTTCAGTACCTTCTTTGGTAAATTTAAGTTCTTCAGCTTCCGAACCTAGATTGTGTTTGATCCAATCGACAAAAAGTGGTACCCGTGCGTAAAAATCTGGATTACCACAACCGCAAGGAAGGAAAACCCATGACGTAACACCAACTTGTACGCCATTTTTCATCAAAGGACTTCCGGAATCTCCCTGAGTGAGAGAGAAAAAATTAAAATGGTAATTAACGTTTAAAATGAAATGATCACGTGGTTATTACAAATTGGACTTTAATAATAATTTTTTTGTTTGTTTGTTTGTTTGTTTGTTTGTTAAGGTAAAAATTCTTACGTTGCATACACCACGATCGTCGTTACCCAATACGCAAAGATAACTTTCGTGGTTGTAAGTTGTTAAATCTTCGCATTTCGTGTTGGTGATGGCTGTGAAATTTCCACCGAGTTGTAAATTATCAGGTACGGTTCTGTTATACTAAAAATTTTTAAACAGACAAATTATTATTATTATTATTATTAGTTGCTCGTCGTCGTTAAAATTAATTGATTCGCGTACCGGATCTATGTATCCCCATCCGGTAACGGAAACGGAATCTTGATCGTAGACTTTCCATCCTTGTAGCGGTAAAGTTACTTGTTGAACTTTGGGTCCGAATTCGAATGGTTGTTTAACTTTAACCAAACAAACGTCGTTTATCCAATTGAGGCTAGGATTGTATTTTTCGTGGATTTTATACGAAACAATATCGTGATCGGATCCACCTTTCGATAATAAATTTGATCCCGCGTACATGTACCCTTCGGTGTCTTTCATTCTAAAACCCCGACGCAAAAAAAATTCAAATACAAATTAAAAAAAAAAAAAAGAGGAAAAATCCGGAAAACTTACGCCGCGCAACAGTGAGCTGCTGTCAGGGCCCAATTTTTAGTAAGAATTGAACCACCGCAAACGTGACCCTTTCCATCTTTCATCTTCATTGATACCATGTAAGGATATTTTCCTTCCGGTGCAGCAACGCCATTGATAATGTAATCTTGATAACCGATTAAAGGTGGACACTTGGAATCATTGTAAACGTAGGGTTGACGACCTGTAAGAAAAGGGGGGGAAAACGTTCGAGAAAATTCTTTCGATATCATTCTTTCTTTGTCAGGCAGTAGGTATTAACGAATAAAAAATTATTATTATTATTATTATTAATATGGCGACGCGGCGTAAATAAACGTAATGAAATATTTATAAGGAAATTATTTTGCGTTAGACGTTTAATAATCGTTTAAATAAATCACACCGACGAAGGGTTTATTTTTTTAGTTAGGGTGAGATCGAATCCCCCAACACCCCCCCCCCATCATCCCCCACTACACCACCGCCCCCCACATCGCCACTGCCTCCGCCGCCTTTACGATTTTATTATCTAAGTCCTGCTTCCAGCCCCTGCTCTTAATTCCAACGATGCCAATACACGTAATCATTGTTTTCTCTTTTTTTTTTTATATATATAAATTCATAATTTCGTTTAACAAAAAAGCGCGGAAAAAACAAACGAACAAACAAACAAACAAATTTTTCGTATTAATTTTTTCATTCGTTTGTTTGTTTTTAATGTGTTCGAAATTTAAACATGGAAAAAAAAACAAATATTTTATAATTTTCCAAAAAAAAAAAAAAATTTTTTTTTCGTTTGTTCGTTCGTTTGTTTGTTTGTTTGTTTGTTCGTCTGTTTGTTTGTTTGTTAATCGGATAAAAAAAAGGAAAAAAAAACTTACCCAAAACGTATCCGAAAGCTAATAAAAAAACAAAAAAATTTAAAGTCATATTGTTGAATGAGCGTTTCACGAATTAAAATCAAAAAATTTATTTTTTCATTTAGTTTTTATATAACAAATTTAATTTAATTTTTTTTTTTTTTTTTATCTTTATGATCGTCGCCATTGTCCTTCTCGTATCGCGTTGACCACTTGAAAAAATTATTATTATTATTATTATTATTAATATTTATTTATTTTATCATTTGACGATAGGCAAATTTATAAAATAACCAAGTTTAAAAAAAAAAACAAAAAAACAAAAAGAATGTCGTGGTGCAAGAAACGTTTTTATTTTTCATTTTTTCTTTCCACGTGTCCAAACACACGTGGAATTTAAAAAAAAAAAAAAAAATTATCCGGAAAAATTTTCTAATTCCACGTCTAAAAAAAAAAAAATCATTACAACAAACCCGTAAGTTTTTTTTCCTTTTTCTATTACGATTATTATTATTATTATTATAAATTGTTTAAATGAAAACTTGGTACGAAATTTTCATTGTGAATGAATGAATGAATGAATGAGTGAATGAATGAGTGAATGAATGAATGAGTGAGTGAATGAATTAAATCATTCTCTATCGTTATAAAAAAAAAAAATATAGGAAAAGATTTAAAAAAAAAAAAAAATCGACAAACGTGTGACGTCAAAAACATTTTTTTTTTTCGTTTACTTTGGGTTTATTCATCACGAAGCAAACAAACAAACAAACAAACAAGCAAACAAACAAACAAACGAACAGAAATTTTCTCGTCGTAATATAACAATAAAAACCTGGTCGAAGTTGGGTTGAATGAAAAAAGGGATGAAAAAAGCTAAAAAAAAAAAAAAAAAACGTTTTTTTTTTTTTAATTTCCCCCCCCCCTTTCCTCCTCCTCCCCGCTACTACTTTCCTCTACGTCCCCCCTTTCCCCACTTTTTTGCGATCTCCACCATTTTCTCAATTAAGATGATGTCGAGATATCGTTTACTTTATGATAAAATTTGGCATTGACACGATGATAAAAAAACAGTTAAATATTTATCTGTTTAATTATCCGAGGCTTAATTCTTCTTCTTTTCCTTCTTTTTTTCCTTCTCATTGTTAACTTTTCGATTCCAGAAAAATACGCATGCACACGCACACGCACGCACTCTCGCACTCACGCATAAAATTTCAAAGATGGCGGTGAAAAAAAAAGGGGGAAAAAATAAAATAAAATTGAATTTTAATTAAAAATGTAATGAAAGTTTTTTTATTAATGGGTAATTGACCTTTTATCTTTTAAACGTTTACCTTTTTCACCCCCCCTGCCACCATCGTCACCACTACCACCGAAACCAATAATAATAATAATATTAATAAGTTTTCTTTTTTTTAAAAAAACCACAACAAGTTTTTTCACGTTGTTCGTTTGTTCGTTTGTCTGTTCGTTTGTTTGTTATTATTATTTTCATTCGCGATATTCGTTTAAAAATTCATCTTTCGTAACGGTAATAATAATAATAATATTCGTTAATCGTTTTGATTTAATTACATTTTTTTTTTTTTTTACTAAACAACCGGATATTGGAATTCATTTAATAATAATAATAATAATGATGATGATAATGATGATGATTTTTCATCATTGGATTTTTTTATAAAAAATCAATTTTTTTTTTTTTTTTCAATTTTATCTTATCTAAAATAAATATATAAAAAAAAACTCTCTCTCTCTCTTTCTTTCTCTCTCTCTCTCTCTCTCTCTCTTTCTTTCTCTCTCTCTCTCTCTCTCTCTCTCTCTCTCTCTCTCTCTCTCGAG